AACGCGGCAAATTGTGTGTGAGAACTTGAAGTTTATGCTTTTTGTATCCAATCGAATGCAATTTGCCGCGAAAACAGAGAGAGTGGAAAAAGGGAAACAAAGCAATCTTGGATACGCCCGCAACATCAATATCGGTAACTTTCCATGGACCGATTTTCCGATTCACTTTGCCGCCTCGATTTTTTGCTCGCCCAACGCATTTTCTTGCTGCTCGTTTTTTTGCCCATTCCGCTCGACAAAAGGCGTAAACTTTTCAGACAGCAAGGGGGTGTAAAGCTGGCATTTCCACCCACTTTTCATCGCACTCGAACACTGCCTTTTGGCACAGACTGTGTGTGTCCATGTCCACCTTCGTGCATTTGATTTGTGGGGCCATAAAGTTCGAGGCAAAACACTCGGATGCGATATTTACAATTTTAATTCAATTTGTTGAAAATTCCCCTGTGAATGGGCTATGTGCTATGTGCTGTGTATATGTGGTTGTGGCAGGATGACCCCCAAAGAAACACTTGCTGCTATTTTTGCACATTAAACTAATCGATATTTTATATGCTGGGGATGGAGGGGCTACCAGCATTAGATGCAAGTACATTTTAGCCATTTTGTCGTCGTAGTCGATTCAATGACAGCTCGGCCGAAGGACAGCCAAGGACTCGAGGATGTTGTTGTTTAATTGTCTGTAAAATTGTTAAATTGCTTAGCGTGTCAGCAGGATCTAAAGGGGGTTGGATAGGAGGGGGTTAGGGGTCAGGGATGCTGTCAGTGGCTCGGGGTTAACATGCATGTGCAATTACTATCAGCTAGCTGCCCTGCCATCCATTCGACACCGTCGATTTATTTATTCATTTCCCGGTTGCAAACCAAAGATAAAATGCCGAGCAGAGTGGTTCAATCAAATCTTATTTATTTTTAAACATGAATTGAAAAGGCAAAGGTTTTTTCTTTGATGGAGATTTAAATTGTTAAATTTTATCCGTTTAACAAAAATTAAATAAAAAATAATTAGACCTAGAAACGATTAAATAAAATATTTATAAAAATAGAAAGAAAATAAAATTAAAATAATTTTATATATTCCACAAACTATAAATCAAATAAAAGGTATCTTTAGGCCCAGGTATCTATGAAAACTATTCCCTTTTTTTTGCACTCTAACCAAATTGAAATACCAAACTTGCCAAACCGCAAATGGCTGTAACCTGAGTGCAACCAAAACTGCTGGGAGCCATAAAACTGACTCCACTAATGCTATAAATAATCGTTTTCTGGCAGACCTTTAAACTTTTTATTTTATTTGTACTTTTTGGATGGGGATCTCAGGGAAAGGGAATTGCTTACGTGATTGAAATTTTGAAAATTCCCCAACAAAGGCGGCCGACATAGGTTGGCCAGTTTTTGGCAATCAAAAGTTGTTTGCGCCTTTGTAGTTGGACTGTTTTGTGGTCGAAACGCCCCCGTCACCGAAAAAACGCAGTTGGCATAACAAACAAGAGGGTTTGGAAAGGGTGGAAACACCGAGTGGAAAAAACAAGCCAAGTTTCTTGTTCCGTTACGTTTCCACATGGCCAAAGTCCAACTTTTGACATTGACACTGTTTCCACCTTGTGTGTCCTGCGAGTCCTGCGATCCTGGCACCGGCTTTACGGCGTAATTGGGCGTGAAGGGTTAAATTGAATTGCGTGCTCACGGGAGCCAAACGGTTAGGCAAACAAACAGAGCTCTGATTTCGATAGCCCTTTGCTACAGGGGAATAAATTCTTAGGGATTCAGATCTAAACACTCTGTGAAGTAAAGAGGTCCTTGAAAATTATTTTTTTTTAATTTTAACAAAATTTTATGAAGTCAATTTATTATCTAAAATATGAATGTAAAAAGAAAATCTTATATACTGGACTTTCCTAAGTTGTATTTGAATAAATATAAAAATTGCAATTAGATTTTTACGAAATAATTTGTTAATTCTTGAAAAATATTTTAGTTTATATTTAGGTATGAAGAAATTTTCTTAGAACCAACCAAATTTTTCTCGGTATACATAACGACCTAATTTTATGCGGGTTCAGTTCGTGACCGACATAAGAGTATTTATATTTCCCATTTTGTGTTTGCCGTTATACAAAAGATTCCCACTAAAATCGCTCTAAATTGTTTTCTCGTTTCAGCCTGTGGATTATCCTGTAAAAATGTTTAAAATCATCTAAGTGTGTGTTGCGTGAATCCTTGTAGATGTGTATTATTGTGTAAAGGAAGTGTAATTTGTTAATATGTATTTATTATGATTCTACTTTGTGATGGTTTCTTAGGCTGAACTTTTTCGTGTAACTATATAAATTTAAAGGAGGAAATTACTCGAGCTGTAAAAATCGACGAGCGAAACGAGATGTAAGGCAAATATTCTAACTAAACCACTCAACTTTTGGGACAACTTAATTAAGCCGTAAACGTAAATTAGCATAACCACAAAAGGCACCAAAGAAAAACAAAACAAAACCAAAGAAAATAAAAAATACAGGATATATGAATATACACACTATATATACATAGATGTAATATTGGGTTCGTCAACTTCTATACAGGGCTACCGACCAGTAAACAAAACAAATTGTTAGCAAACTCAACTGCACCAAAAAGTAAACTCTATACAAATGTACAACCGAAACGGAACGAAAAGCAAAGAAACACAACCAAGTATTTACATGGATAAATGTTCTAAGGTCCATAGTGCAGCATAAAGAAAACATAGGACTGTAGGTTAAGAGCTCTCCAATCCACAAAGTTCGTTTAAGTTTCCATTGATCTATGGCCATTGTTACGAAGGACAAATCTCTACTTTACTATAACTGAAAAATAGCTTTATAGTTTATAAGCCATCGCGCCGGAAGTCTCTTTCTCTCTGAAATCATGGACTATAGTTAATACATACCTATATATATAGATATATTCATAGCAATATCAATGTGCACAGATGCAAATACTCTAAAGAAAAATATATCCAACTGTTCAGCTGAATGTTATTCTAAGGCAAAGCGTAGCTTAAGACCCGATTTCTGTTTTTTGTTTACCCAAAGAGGTGCTGAGTGTTAAATCTAAGTTACTTACTTGTACTGTAAAAAGGCTAAGAAGTGTTAAGTGCTAAAATAACTAACCCTCTCTTCGCCCCCATCCCTCAACTAATTTCACCTGTACACGGAATGGAGTAAATGTTAAATATGTTAAAGTAAAATCAATATGTAACTGTAACCCAAGAGTAAATCGCAAGATAAACATACGCAGAAGCAAATAAAAATATTTCATTGAACCCTGAAATTTGGAAAGTGTCTTTTAAGTTAAGTATGTTGAAAAGGTATGTTATATATTCAAGGATTTAACATAATTATCTTAAATTAAAATCGAATTTACTTACTTACTTTCAAAATTCAATTTCAAATAAAATTTGTTTGTTTTATTTTATTTTTTTTATGGTTAATAAATAAAGTTTAGATGCAGGTTTTATTTTACTTTAAAATTAAATTTGGTAATTACATCTGAGGTTTGTGAGTCCACGTTTCGTGATTCGTAATTCAGCACACGATCGCATTTCGTCGGCAGCTCATCAATGTGCTAATCAAATTACATGTTGTTTCGACTTTTGCCACTTGGTTTTGGGCAGCAGGGCCTGTGCTGCTTCTTCCTCCTCCCTGGCAATTCGTTCGCGAATCCAATAATTCGCCCCGCAGACCAGAAGCAAAAGGCAGGGAATCATGATGAGCAGGACCATTCCCAGTGAAATACTAGCCACCCGCGCCGAATGCTCCTCATGGCCTGGAAAAGCATCAAAATCAAAAATAGACAAAGGATTCTTCGGGGGACGACGGGGGCTTGAGCACTAGGTTCTATGAACAGTGAGGGAAGTAATCGGGTGATGGAATAAGAATTTTTAATACCATTTACTGAAAAATCTACATTTTTTATATTTTTAGAACTTATGGAGGTTTTTTTTATAGAGTTAAGAAAATTTAAGTCAAAATTGTATTTTTTATTCATAAGAAAGATTTTTAAAATTTAATTTTAAAATTTGTATTGTTTACTTTTCACGTTGGGTATATTTTATTTGTAATTGTATGAGTCTGATTCAATTTAAATTTAATTTTTTCAGCAAGCTCTTTTCCCATATACCATCTTCAGTTTTTTTTGCAAAAGTGTTACCTTTCCATCACTGTTCATAAATAAACCAGGCAACTGGGCTATCCATCTAGCTTTTCCCTGCCATCCATCCAACCTCTCAAGGCTGGAAACTACATAGTCGCCTAGTTTTGAGTCCTCCATCGCCCTGCCATTGTGTTGTGTCTATTTCCCAGTTAGATCGGGATATATTCTCACATTGATGAGGAGAATAGAGAACGGAGGACGAAGGATTCGCCGGCGGACAAACAGACATAAGTAACGGCAACTTGTCCATCAATTTGCTCAAGATTGATTGACATTGGCGTAATGCACACAATACATTCTGTTCCCCCATGGAAAGGGGGCGTAGGTGGAGTGCGAAGGCGTGGCAGTAATACAATACCAACAAAAACAGTAAGACAGCGCATAAGAAACAGAGTGACATTTGAAGATTAATGTCTTTGGCTTCGGTCCTACTGCTTCGTTGTAGATTTTATGTAATTTCTGTTTGCACTTTGGTTGCATTGGTGAAGATGCACTGGACAAAAATAGTAGGGTTTTAAATATATATAATTATACAAAAAATGTAACATCAGAACATGTATAAAAACATTTTTTCAAATTTTTAGATTAATTAATTTTAGTTATTTTCCAAATTAAATTCTAATGTCAGTTTTTTTTACCCAATTTTTTCCAGTGCAACCCGCAATGCAACCCGCTTGCTCATGCAAATTATTACAGAAAATTGACAGGCAGTTAAATAGCAAACAAAGCGAACCCTGCGAAGTGTCAACTTTCATGTAACAATTGGCATTATCGAATCAGCCTGCAAGGAGAACTAAGAACATTATTCGGTGTTTACAAGTAAACTAGATATAAACAAGTGTTTTTGGTTTTATTCAATACATAAAATGATGATTGTTTACCTGGGCCGATGGAAATACAAATGAATTTGCCGTTTGGATTATGCTTAATGTACAAGGATTCGGTTATCGGATTTGGACTATTAAATAAGTGCTATGTTAGATGTTATTATTCAATGTGTGGTCATGGCCTCGGGAAAAACAGCAGTACAACAATAGAATTAAACAAAGCAATGGACAGGTGGGTTTTTGTTTTTGGAAAGTTACTTAAAATTAGTTATTATTTGTGGGTGGCTCTTATTTGAACTTTGCAGCTAGTTGTGGGGGGTGGGGATCGGGTGAGTTAGGATCCTCAGACCTCGGTGGACTTTTGCACCGAGGGAGTGGGCGAGGTAGCCAGGGGCGGTGGTGGCGAAGGCAGGCCCGAGTCCTGTGTCAGCGGCGTAACAGGTGCCGTGCGCAGGGGAACGGCATTCACACTCGACGGGGGTCTACTGTAGTACTGCGTGTTGCTGGGCAGCACTGGCACGCCCCCGAAGCGATTCTGCGCCGCCGCCTGGGGTGTATAATTTATGGAGCTGGCACCACTGGTGCGACTGTCCAGGCCACTGAAGGTGGGACTGTACTGCTGGCGGTGCAGCTGATCCGCCTCCTCCGGCGACAACGGCTGATGATAGCCCGCCGGATGAGTGGTGCCCGTGTGAACATCCGCCTCATCGAAGTCATCGTCCTCATCCGGGTGATCATCGTGATGATCCCCATCCACCGGAGATCCAGATCCGTGGAGGGAACGGCGACCCAACTGCTTCGGCTTCTCACCTGTGGCGACGACGTTCGGATTAATGTAGGAAATGTCCCTGGCTAACTTTGAGCTGTTTCTATTTTGACTACCTTCCGATGAGGTCACATCCTCGTCGTTCTCATCCAGATCCCATTTCTTAGCTGGAAAATCAATTTGCGGTTTGCCCGGTAATGGTTCGTTCGTGCGATATACTTTGTCGTAGGACCTACTTTTCTTCAGTGTACTGGCATCCGTATCGCTGTCATCGTCGTAGTTCAGGGTACGCAGATTACGAGCTGAACTGGCTCGGGAACGAGGAAGCATGGGCATCTGCCACTGGGGATCCTCCTTCAGCTGCTTCTGCCGGTAGCGATACACGCCGCACACGATGCACAGCATCAGTGGGCAGATCACCAGGAAGATAATGCCAATTGCTATGAAAGCGACGCGACGCGTGTAGTACACCTCACCTGCGCAAGGGTCAAAGGTTGGTAAGGATTGCTTTCTATCAGGGGGGTTTTACAAAGGACACTACATACTGGCTGACTGGATTAGTTTTTCTTTTCTTATTATAATAAGGGATAAAAAGTCCCAATAAATTCTGACTAGAAAAAGATTTGATATCAGAGAAATTCTTTTTAATTCTATATCTAAGATAATATTATCTTAAATCTAAATTAATATTTTTTTCAATAATATTCATTAAATTATAGGATGTATTAATATTCTAAAATGTATTTTTTAATGATTAAGGGGCTTAGATGAAGCTCTAATTCAGTCAGTCAGTAGAATTGTAGGTAAGATTTAAGGGGTTCCTAGTCAAAAGGGTAATATAAAGTATTTTGTACTTACGTAGACACTCGGTGTATCCATATTCGGGAATATTCCACAGACCGTTGGCCAAACACTCACGACGTTGATCTCCCACCAGAATGAAGCCCTCATTACACTCAAAAGAAACCTTGGCACCGGGCATGAAATCAAAGCTCAGCTTTCGGCCGAAGCGAGGAGTCTGCAAAACACCACAGGATACCACGCGTCTGTAAAAGATTATAATATAAGTATAAAATAATATAAAACTTTTGAAAATTTAATCTAGTTTTCCCAGATAATATTTTCTTGTAATCCCCAACTTACACTGCATTTTCCGCCTGCATATTGACTATGGTGTCGTAGTAGTTCTTGGTAAAGTGCGCCAAATCTCGATTTAATGTCATTGCATAATCATATTGACACTGCATACATTCGCCACAAAGTTCCTCGGCTCTCTCCAGATCGTAGGTACGATTGGTGGGCAGGAAGTCCGCAGGATCCAGGACATAATTCGGCTGGAAGGTGGCATTTGCATAGTAGCTGGACATTCTTCCGAATTCTCGGGTAAACAGAGCAGCTCCCACTCCAGGAACTTCGCGATCCGTGAGCATCCATTTGATGCCAAAGTTGGTGTGGATGCTACGTAAATCGTTCAGATTGAGTTGGGCCACCTGACCATTGGGCAGCATAAAGTCGTCTAACTTGTTGAAGCTCCAGTTGCCAAAGAGGCCAGCTGTTTTGTTCTGGTATAGGAAAGTAAATATATAAACTAAAAGGTAAAAATTTAGAAATATTCTTCACTCACTATAAACTTCCAGGGCAGGAAAACGCGACCCGTCATGTAGCCCTCGTTCTCCACAACCTCCACACCGATTCCCGCATCGAATTGAACGACGACCTGGGACTGATTGAGCAGGTAAGTTGGGGTATATACGGATACACCATCGAAGTGCTGGAACTTGAGACTCTCGCGATCGAAGTAAACCCTGCGGCCATCGGCCAGGACATCCAGGCGATAGCGCCACCTGGCGTGCAAAGGACGCAGGCGAACCTCGATCGTTGTGGTCGTATTTCCCCTCATCGCCACCGCCGTCAACTGAGTGGCCTTCACCTCGCCATAGTAGTTCGTGGGCAGCTGCTCAAAGCGTCCTTGGACCTCGAACTTGTTGCTCTCATCCACGCTGCGCGCCAGGACGAACTCTCCCAGTCCGTTGAAGGTATAGGCCGTGCCGTCGAAGGTCACAAAGTGGGGATCACCGAAGACGCCAGCGATGCCCGGCGCCTGATAGGCCACACAATCCTGCGAGGGACGACGCTCGAAGCGGTACGTCTCGCAGCCCACCGCCTGCTCCTCCTGCCAGAAGCAGCAGGAGTAGAAGGGACGCATGTCGTGGAACCACATGGACAGGGAGGGCACCTTGCTGGCCTCGTTCCAGGGCATCTTGCCCAGGTTGTGGACGCGGCGGGGTCGAGAGCCCCACATCTGGTCGTAGGTCAGCATCAGGAAGCCGTAGCGATCGTAGCAGCACTGCTGCTCAGCTCCTTGGGCGCTAAAGGTGAAAAATATATTATTAACATTTTTTTAAATTTTTTAAATTTGATCACTAGGATTCTTATATCATTAACAAAGGTGTCTAAAAGTATGCCGTAAAAAAATCATAGACATAAAATGTTGCATACTTTTAGACATCTTTAAAAGTGATTCTAAAATCCTTTTGATTTCTTTTAAAGAAAGAATATCGACAAAACGAGTTTTCCCATAAAAACATCGATATTATCGTATCAATATTGTAAAAATATCGAAAATATCGATAACTTTCAAGCTTTATTTCTTTAGCCTCATTTATATCTTTTAACCCTTTATTAGAATTTATTTAAGCCCACTTACACTGGCGTTCCGCTGACCACACAGTGGATGGCTCCGCGATGCCTCAGGCAGCTGGGGTTCGAGTCCTTGTCGCACTCCCGATCCGGCCGGAAGCGTCCTTTGTCCAGAACAGCCTGGTCCAAGGTGCAGGGACAGAGTGGAAGGTCGGCGGCAAAGTTCCTGCGAAAGGGAGAATATGAAATTTCAGTTGGGGGAAGAGTAGCTTTATTGCAATCCTCGGCTAATTAGCTATATAGGCATCCATCGTTGGCCAATCCCCGTTGGCGTTTTCGGTTGCTTTTAATTAGCGGGGCAAATGCAAATGCATATTTGCTGAGCCTTACCTGAGGAATCGGTCGGCGCGAATCCAATTATCGCAGAGAGCTCTCGCCCAGCGTTTTCCGTGCTGTCGCTCCCATTGGGGCGCCATATACCATGCCAATGGAATCGGGCGGGACCACAGGACCCTGGAAATGGAAAATGAGAAAATGCATTGTGAAAATGAATGCCAAAGATTAATTTCGGAGGGAGGCAGCCGAAAAGATGACATCCCTCGACCTTTGCCATTCGTGCAGGCTAATAAACAAGCCATGCGATTTAACCTTCTCTCATTTTTTTTCTGACGAGCTACACGATTTTGCCATTAGCCGCCGTTGCCTAGTTAGCCATCAATGGCCTTCAATTCACGCCTCACGCTGCCATGGAAATATTTTTCATTAAGTTTTCACAATTACTCGGTCATCAAATGGAAATTAAATGTTGAAACAATGCTAACAATTTATGTCGGGGCCCACCCGCCCCTTTGGGCCGGCTAACGACACCCAAAGGTGCCGTAAACCAGAAAAAGAATAAAATGGTTTTATATAGCGTCTTAGGGGAAAAGAAACAGAGGCGAAAAAAAGGTAAGGATTCTTGTATCATTTCGGCACTATCAAAAGTATATTTGTTCGATACGAAAGAATACTTATTTTAATGAATTTTTAATGAATTACGGTATGATAACGTCATTGAACTCATAAAACAACATATTTTTTAGATTTTTAAAGATATATTATTATAAAATATTATAAAAGTGTAAATCTATTTTTATATTTTCAAAAAAAACGTTAATAACTTCTCCCAGTGCAGACCTAAGTTACCGAATGAACCCTCGAAAATTCCTAGTCGTCAAACTGGGCATCTTACAAAACACAATCCCTGTTTTTGGCCAACAAATTTTATGGCAGAGAAGATGATTCAGGTTTAAGTGCAAAATAATTGCAGGACGTGAAGGAAAAGGCTTAAATGCGAAGAACTGGCGAACAAACATGGCAGCGATTACCATTGTGGCCGAGGCCATTAAAAACACATTTCCATTATTGATTAGCTCCGAGAATGTCTCGCAATTACATGCTGTCATAATAAGCAATCTTCAGCCCAGTCAAGCCAAGCAAAGCGAGAGCAAATTGATTGCAGCCGAAGGGAATGGGATGGTTGACTAGGATGGTAACTGGTATCTAGAAGAGCCCGTTCTCATTGTCATTGAAATTGCCCGACAAATTGAATAAAAACAAGGATAGACCATCAAGGCACTGAGATGACACATTGAGACAACCGAGAATCAATTAAATCGTAATAACAAAGGAATCTGGGGGGAGGATTCCAAGGATTGCTGCAAATGCAGCTGAACGAATAAATTCAGTTAAATAAAGCTAGCTATGAACAGCTAATGCTTTGAATAAGAGAAAATTTTATATAATATCCAAGTAACTACTTCTTTAGTTTCATAATAAAATCTCTACTTACGGACTGATGGCCAATCCTGAGTACTGATCGGGCTGCGTGAGATTGATCTGAAGGAATCCGAACTGCATGTCCCGGTTAATATTGTTTCGATTCAGATAATTCGAGGGCGTGATCACATAGCTGCCAGAATTCGAGTACGAGGCCTCGATCACATCGATATACTCCAGCTGGGGCTCGATCTTGGTCTCCCTGTAGCCCCACAGCGAGATCATCACGTTGGCATTGGCATTCGAGGTCAAATTGTACTGGTTCCAGGTGATGCGGATCTCGCTGGGATTCTTCTTGTGCACATCGTCGGTGGCGAAAAAGATCTTCTCGGTGGCGGCAGCCGGGGTCTCCACAAAGTACTTTCCGCGCCACTTGAATCTCTGGGTGCCCACGGAGATCTGGAATCGAATGTAGCCCTCGGCCTTCAGATAAGGCTGCACACAGATAACTCGATTCCTGTCCACATAGGTTCCCAGCACGGATTCCGTATCGAAGTGACAGGTCACTCGGATAGTAGGATCAAAACAGGGCCCAGTGATGTTGACCACTTGGCCACCCAACATGTTGCCGGATTCGGGGGCGAAGGTTAAAGGAAGCAGGGCAGCATCTAGTGGTTAAAAATATATATTTTATATTTAAAAATTGGATTAAGAATTTAATTAAATTTAATTTGCTATTCCCAAAAGTTGAAAAGCTGGTAAAAGTATTTAAAATATGGTTTGAAACCCTAATAAAAATAGAATAATTTAAAAATATTAAAATAAAAATTATTATAAAATATTACAAATTATAATTATAATTATTGGTTTGTTTATTGAATTCCCTAAAATAATCCATGTAAAAATGTATCTTAAAAGTGAGTAGTTATCTAAACCCAGCAAAACAATTTCTAATTTACCCGACACCGATTAAAGTGTCCCTGCAATCAAACGTACCGATATCCTTGTTGCAGGAGCCAATTAGAATCTGCTCGTCCACGCGGAAAATGTGACGACCCGGGAACCCATTGGCCCATCCTCTGTTGGCCAGGTCCCGAATCACCATGTTCTGGCTGTAGGGCTTGTACTCGTAGGCCTGAGTGCCGTTGCCGGCATTGAAACCGACCTGAAAATAGGGGAGGGGGTGCAAAGTTCATATATCAGTAGGCATGGGTGATTTTGCGAAGGCCACGCTCTGCAATTAAATACACTCGCATTCGGATCGCTTACACATTTAATTAACTGTTCACAAAGTTCGCAATTATGTTTCGGGCTTAGGCAAAGTTTAAATTGTGCGTTTAATTACTACAAGTGGCTGCAGGCTGAAGGATGCTCGAGTTTCAAACGCAAAACGATTCGAGCTTATGATAATTGTGAATTTGATGAGTGATTCTTGAAGGCATTTGGCAAAGGCAAATTAAAGTTGCATTGATTTCGAAGGATTTCAAAAGTTCTTGAATTCCATTTTTGCTTCGCATTTTTTAGTTCAAACTTTATGCATATTAAGGTATCCTTTTTGTGTGGGTCCTCAACTTGCACTTTACTTTTACCCTTTTGATTGCCGAACAAATCACCAAGGCAAACATGCCAAGGCTGAATGCTGGACAACTAAAGGGCAAAAAACAAAACTCTTCACTCACACAATCAGTTGGCAAGTTTTCCCCTGAGAGAGTCAACTGTTTAATTGACTGCCAACCGACAAAAAGTAAAGGGACTAGAAAAAAAAAAGGGAGAACTTGACCACTTACATATGCAGGAACTCCGCCCTCGCCCTTTGTCGTATCGCCTCCAGCTTCAGTGTGCGAAAGCCAGTTCAATACGGCATAGTTGAAGATGATATAGGTGTAGACCTCATCGGTAGCCAGGATCATTTGGAAGGTGTTGGTCTGTGGATTTATAGTTAATTTAAAATTATTCATACAAAGAAAAAAATCAAAATTAAATAAGGTCATTTCTACCTTATTTCATATCAAGCCGATATGATGAATGTCAAATTTATGATTTAAACTCGATACATTATCATTTTATAAAAGTTATAAAAATACTGTTTTAAAATAACAAATTTCGTGTTTATTTGAGAAATATTGTAAAATAAGATACACCTAATCTTTATTCATATCAAAATTATCTTAATAAAAATACTAAATGTACATGATCTTTTTTCACTTACCGTGTAGAGGGAGTTATCGATTCCGCCGGCGAATGAGACGTTCTTCCAGGTGGAGATCACCACGTGCTTGGGAATGAAGGTATCGGCGCCCACGACTCCTTGACGAATGTCCCACATGGTTCGTTCCCGTACCTCCACGCCAAAACGGTCCGTACGTCCCATCAGATCACGTTCCACTCTGCAAATAAGGGGATTTTCCGTCAGTTTGGGACTACCGAGACTACTAAGACCACCGAGACTCATGTGGCTGATGCGAAAATGAGAAAACAAATCGGATGCAAGGCAAATTTCGGTTTGGCGTCTGCCCGATGATAAATGGATTCGATGTTCGGCATATAAATCAGGGAGCAGGCGGAGAGATTTCTGATTTGTGCGCTTCCTCATTACTTTCCCGACTGGTGGGCATATTTTCATAAACATTTTATTTATTTTACGCTCTCGTGAGCACTTTCAAGTGTGTGTTTTTTGAGGGAATGGTGTTCGTATCGACGGCCGACAGATTGGCGACGCCATCGCGGCTACGTGGCGTATGATTTATATGCTTTAATTATTCATTACGCATACTCCGCGTGTTCCGCAATTCAAGCTGCTTGGATGGCTGTTTGTTGGCTGCCACATAAATAGCTTTAAGCCAGGGATTCATGCAAAATGCTTAGACAAAAGCCATTCCAATCCATTGCGAACACCAGACAAATAAATCTTAAGCCGATTTACCGTTCGGGATTTCTTTTTTTACTTACAACGTAAGCGAACTTAAGCGAATTTCCATTGCCGGACAATTGCATTGGCATCGAGGTGAACAATTGAGGATTGCCAAAGCTCTTGGTTGGCATAAGAGGCTTATCAAATGAACCATTCGGCTCACAGTACAAACATGTCCAGATGCTGGCCGCAAATCGAACTAAAAATTCAAACTGAATGGGGGGTGGTTCGATTTTGCTTTTGCTAATAGAGGCATTCGGCCAAATTCAAAATGGCAATAAATAATTGAAAGTATTCAAATTGAATTTTAAATGAAAATGGTAAATAGATTGTTTCCATTTTGAATGCAGGATTTTTGGTTTAAAAATATCCTTTCTTAATGAATGCTAAAATGTAAGCCAAATAAGTAATACCTAAACTACATTTGCTTTCTCTTTAAACCCTTTAATTAAATTCCCAGCACTCAATTAAGCTCTAAAAACTCCTAAAAAAAACCCTAATTGCCCTAAAAGTGCTTTATGGCATTTAATAAAATTCAACAAAGTCTTTGGCTCCAGAGTATCAGCAAATGTAAACTAATTCCCAGTCGCTTTGACAGGGACATTCATTTAGGGCAACTGCCAACCTACATATATAACAATTGAAATCGAAAAACTCGTTATGCTCCAGCATTTCTGTGTGTGGCAAACAAAGATGAATGTGGGCCATTTTCTATTTGCATTTTCCCGGTAACATTTTATTGATTTTGCCCCGGCGTTTGTTAGTGATAAATGAAACGCACACACAGAGCTCGGGAATTGCAAACAAACATGAGTGGTAGAATGGTATTTACCCCGATGTTCAGCTTATTTATTAACACTCGAAGGATCCGTAATAAAAACCCATAATGCAGCCATTATCGTGAATATATTCATTTAAATTACCGCCAGTATGTGCTTTTCAATTTTTGAGGGCACATAAATTATAACTGGCAGCAGATGGCAATGGAAATAAATTACAAAATTACACTTGCCATCCTTTACTCGAGTAACAAACCTATAAAAAATAGAAAACGTTTGTTGGCATCCTGCAAAAACCGCATGCCAGGGCCAAAAGAAGAAGAAGAAGGCGCTCAGAGATAACCGCACACACAAAAACCCACACTCGCATAGTTTATCATTTGTGTTTGCCCCGAGCAAAAAACTTTAAAAGTCTGCAATTGACATTCGGGCTAAAAAAAATGCGAATTGTCACTCAGCCTAGAAATGCGCGCGCAGCAGCCAAAAACAGCCGCATACCCGTAGACTTTTACGTGTAAGTAAGCCAAAAAGCCACACACATTTATACAGGCACTGCAAAAAAAACTACCTATTCAGAAATAAATGTTTCGATTTTAAAAGAAAACAGTACAGGTTCGAAGTAACCAATAAAGGTGCTTAAAAGTATGCAACAATATATGTTGTTACTGATGAATTTTTTACTGCATACTTTTAAACACCTTTTGTAAAAGTTTTGAAATCCAAAAACATTTCTGTATTGATATAAAATGAAATATATGACTAAGACTTGTTATAGTTTTTCTTATTTTCCATCTCAATATTATTAAGACTTTTTCTCTCTGTGTCGACATAGAGAGAGTCGCAAAAAAGTAATAGAAACTCAGCAGAAGCTCGTACATAAGTTGAGCTCCTTGCCGCTTTTCCACCCGCTTTTCCACCCAATTTCAGGCCAGTTCTTGAACTGCGCCATTATGTACTTTATTGCATACATTCGGGCGCGCTGCCACAGTTTTGTCTGCATTTGTAGGTTAAAATGCCTTTTCGCCGCTTTGCATGGAAATATTCGAGCCGCGTTCCCTCATCCGTTTTTAGCCCCTTTCTATCCACCATTTCGGCCATGTCTCCGTCTTCGCCTTTTGCCGTGTGGCCCAATTCCATCTCTCGGGGTGTAAATGAAAGTGAAACAATGGCCGTACTTAAAGAAAATGGCGAAAATTGCATGTAAGCTGCAGAAAACAGCGCGCAGAAAGCAGAAAGAGCTCAGCGCTCTCTTACCAGTAAATGCAAACAGAGACTTGCAAATGGCCCAGCCAAGGACGAAGATGGGGGTGGGGGGTGTTTTGGGGGGCCAAAGGATTGGGGAAGTTCTTGTTATGATTGGCAAAAGGGAATAATGAAGCGGCATTATTATGGCGCCCCGGTTATAAAGAAAAACTTTTGGCCAAAAACACTTTCAAGGAACTTGGGGGAAAGACTTTCTCGAGTGCTATGCCTGAATTCTATAAATTTTAAGGAAAGTGACTTTCTGGCTAGTACCCACTTTAAAAAGAGTATCTCGTTCAAGGTCGTCTGAAAACCTTATCTCTTTTAAATTCTTTAATTTAATAATGTATTTTCTATTCAGTAATGTTTGTCCTATTTTTTCTCGATTTTTTTCCCCTAGCCATCTTTTAATAAACTTTTTTAATTTCTTTTCTCAAAGCCCTTTGTGCATTTTAATGTCCTAATTTCCTTCCTTTGCAAATGCACCTTTGACTCATTTGCTGAAAAAAGCAGCTTACAGCCGAAAATGTTTTAATTGCGACAACGCAGGCCGGCAATTAAGATTCCGTTTGAAGCTTCCCTTGCCAAACAAAACAATTAAACGCTCCCTTGTACTACAATAATTCCCACACTCACCCGAAAAAAACCCTCATACATCGAAACTCACACGCTGACAAAGTTTGAAGCGTTTAACAAAAGGAAAAAAAAATCCTGAACAAACGACATTAAGTTTTTATTCGCCAACCGACGCGGTTAAACGTTTGTGTGTGTAATTAAACGTACGCTCATAATGAATTTAATGCTCAAAGTGGACGGCGGTCCACTGGGCGTATGCGCAATGCCCTGCACTTTCAGCTAATCCAATGCTGAGCGCTAAGTGCGAGTGTGTAATTAAATTGATGCGAAATGAGTAGGGTCATGTGAGAAAATGTCGATGAAAGGGGGGTTCTAGAGGCGATGCTTCCAAGTGGGAGGCACAAGGGGTGGGTCAATGGGTGGTTCAATGGGTGGCCAGCAATTTTACATCACTCGCATTTCGCTATTCACTCTGCTTGGCTTCTTTATCTTCAGCGCCATGCAAAGTTATTTAAATTAAATTCCAGTCACAGCTTCAGTCACTCCCCATTCTGTAATACCTCTGAACACCCACTCACATAAGCACTGAGGGAAAAAATATTATTATTAGAGCCAGATAAAATACAAAAATCACTTCTAAAAGTGTCCAAAAGTAAGTAATAAATTATTTGGACACTTTTAGAAGTGATTTTAAAGCTTTTTTATGTTTTAGACATTTTACTAATCACCTTCTCAGTGCCTACAAATGTTGTATAGTTTTATAAGTAGTTAGTATTTATGATTTATTTTCTCCCAGTGCACACATCAAAGTTCGGCTGAGTATTTCCCCTTGATGGTGCTGTACACGAGGCGAAGACAATTAAATGCCAGGGTCGCTGCCATTGAACGAGTTATGCGAAAAGCAAGTTTGACATATTGTCGGACTGTGTAAAAACTATAAAAATGCATTGCATGGTTCCGATCCTTGTACTGCGTGCTCCTGCGCAGGATGTTAATTGCTCTGGTGTGGCAATTTGTCAGCCGGCGTCACAAAGTGTTGACAACAAACCCATAGAATGGGAAAAAATGCCGGAAAACAATTCAATGGAGAAACATTTATCTTACACCGCTTTAAAGCATTCATAATGCGGTCAGATTGATTAAACCACTTGTGTAATTTTTTGTGTTCTAAAATCCACTTGTATTTTTCAGCATGCAGACATCCCTCAACTGACTTGTCATTCTGTGTCACTTTGAAGTAATTTATGCTCTCCCTTTTCGTCTTTTTTATCCTTATTCCTTGAGGGCCATGAAATGTAAGGCTGCTGTAGAAACAATGTAGGCGAGCGGCAATAATTTATGCTCCAAATAGCTCGAAACTGCGGGTTAACCAAAGAGCAATTTAAGAAGAAACTTGCTTTAACTAATTAATGCATTTTTGAGTGCCGGCTTTTTTGTGTATGCGATTACAGAATTTGTAAGGGCTTTTATTTTTTGTACTGCTGTCCTGGGGGTAACCCATATAAATACACCACAAATAACTTTTTAACCCCCACTGGCATTCATTTGCATAATTAGCCGGGGGAAGGCAACGCCAAAAAAAATAATGGAAATTCATGTTTGTGTAAATTCAAACATTGTCCTCGGAAAGTTCATAGGGAAAGTGCAGGGCAACTGAATGTAATTAAAGTAGAATTGGACACAGGGAGAGATTCGGATGCCAGCCCCGGAATGCCATTGTTTCGTTCAGATGGAAACGAGTTGAATGCAGTTGCATGCTCTTTTCTGTGAAATCCTTCACAATGCATCAGCACGATGGACATTTCGAAATGAATTCACGCACAAATGCATTCCGAAATCAGCAGGAAAATAATGGAGGTGGAAATCTGCTGGCAGTTAGCGCCCTGGGATCTCGGAAATATTACGGGGAGTTACAGGTACCATTTGATAATGCAAAAATTCTGGGGCAATAAATGACAGTAACAAGCTACGAAACACTAACAGTGACAAACAAAGGAGGTTTAAATTTCAACAAGGCGAAAAGAGATATACTCTATAATTAATTTATGAATTTAAATTGATTGATTAAAAAATAAAATAAATGTGTATAAAAGTATGCAGTAAAAAATATTTAGTAATAAAATACAAATATTTAATAGCATCCTTTTAGACACCATTAAAATGAATTTTAATCATTTCTGTGGAACATTCAAGTATAATTATTTAAAGGGTTAATTAAGCAATGTTTCGTTTAAGCAAACCATTCTGAATCTTTAATAAATACTAAATAAAGTAAAATCCTTTAAATTTAAACCCAGTTCGTTCATATTATAATCCCATGTATTAATACAGAAACAAATTCTGTGTCAAATAAATCATACCTTTTGGAAGGCCGTATGCATAAATGCAGGCCCAAAAACACACACACACACACACACACATGAAGAATGGGGCCACCGGAAGTGCAGAATGGGACACACACACTCATGCTAGTTTGTGTTAGTTTTTCTGTAAATGACGCAGGCTCACGTAGTACGAGTATATACGTATAAATACTTTTGTTTGGCGCGTGCTGTGTGCTGATTTTGCATATGCAAATGCCACGACGAGAAACAAAGGCAAATAAATATGGTTAGCAAATAAATACAGGCGAAACGGAAATGCGAGCGGGGAGAGGGGATAGTGGATAGCAGAGCGGATGCGGAAATAGATTGAGATGCGAGATGCATTGTCTTACCGGAAGTAAACGCCGGGCGTCCGCTGGTCAATATCCGACGGATAAATGCGACCCACTCGGCACTTGCTGAAAAATATGCCCATGAAAGAGGGATCCCTTTTGAGGGGCCAGTCCTTGATCGGGAAAACGAGGGGATAGGTGAGGTACTCCGGTGGATCGGAGAACTCCAAATAGCCGTTGAGGGAGAGCTGTAGAAGGAGGGGATTATTAGTGATAATGTTATTTACTATGTAGAGTACAAATAATTTATTAATTGGTTGAACTAGCTATTAAATAGAATTTGGTGCAAAAGTTTGTTGAAGATTTTTTTTAAGATTAAAGGCTAACCATAAAATTATGATTTATTTTTCCAGGAAATAATAAAAAATATTATTTAATGTAATGTAATAATTTAATGTAATTATTGTAATTATTTATTTTAATGTTTCGAGGAAATAACAAGTTTTCATTTAATGTAAAATCGGGTAAACTCATAACTCATATAACTTATATAAACTATTTTGGAGACCATAAAATATTATTAAGGGTATCCCCATTTTCTATTTTTTAAGAACCCGTAACTCGTTAGATAAATCCTTACCCTGGTATAGTTGAATCGGAATCCGTAGAAGGGCAGTTGGAAGTTCAGGTTCTTGTGGAGCTGCGTCATGGAGGCATGGATGTCGAACTGATAGTCGCCGCGTCCTCCGTACATGTCCTTATCGAAGTACCAGTACATGAAAGTCTGCCTGAGCTCCGCCAACCTGGCTGCCGTAATCGTATAACCTCCGGCTGCCACCGAATACGTGGTGGGTGGAGCCACATTGTTATTGGGATCTGCAAAGGGGTAGAGGAGAAAAAGAAGACAAATAGCTTAGAGAGTGGAGAGCTCTGGCCTATCATTATAATTTCACACCTAATCCTGGGAGATTACTTTTTCAATTCCACAATATTATCCCCTTGCACTTGCCGCGTTTGCTTTTGCGTCTGCAAGGCATAAAGTGAAAAGAAAACTTTTTCCTGGCCTTTTTTGCATTTTCCGGCTGCACCACTCACCACCCTACACCCACTTCCTTGCAGCTCCCGTTCACACAGTCACACAGTCACAGTTAATATTCATTTCTGTCCTGCAAACTTGGCCGTCTTCCTTCTTTCTCCGCATTCTCCTAATTTCCTCTCACCGCTGGCCTTTTAAAGCAATTTAAGCTGATTAAGTGCAAAGCTGACGTTCCCAATGGACAGTGAAACAGTGAAACAGGAGCCCCTGGAAAGCAGGACCTGGGATCCGCTTAAGGATATTGCTCCTCGTGCTGGCCAAAAACTTAAATTGCTGCTGAAGTTTTCGTGGCTAAGTCCTGACAAAGATTTCAGAATATTTCTCTGGCATCCCTTGGGGATTTGAGGTTGCACCAAAAGGCAGTGTGAAGGACATTCATTGCAATTTCTCAGAATATTCTCACACTTTTAAAGTTTAGCTATAATCGTCTTCTGCCATAAATCAATTAGCAGTCTGGCTAACTGAAGCATAATTTTGTTGTTCTTTTTCAATAAACTTTTTCTTTTAATACCTAAAGTTTTGCCACAAACTTGATCTTTCATAAATCAATTAGCCGACTCGATTACTCAATTTGTTGCATATCTGCAATAATTTTTAATAAGCTTTACCTATTAACTTGTTATCTGTTAAACTTCTGCTACTTTAAAGAAATCTCTCTCCATATTTACCCTTTAAGCTTTATAAATAATTCCATCAATTAATTATGAACCCTATTAAGAACCCGACACCTCCTTTCACCTTTTTGCATAATAACTTCGCCATTCCATTGCTGTTTAATTGCGTATTTCGCTTTGAATAAATGGAAATTGCAGATGTATTTTATGATTTCGTTTTCATTTTCATCTCTCTTCTATTTTCCACATCTATTTCAAGTCTGAAGTGAATTATTGGCCATTAATTGCATTGATTTTGAGTGTAATGAGCCAGCTAATGAAACGTCAACAGCGAAGTGTGTCGGGTCATAAAAACCAGAGGATGCCGTCTTCCAGAAATCCTGAATCCCGAACATCTGTCGCGTTTTTAAGCTATTTATGAATTAGTACCCTCGCTAATCCTTTTGAAAGGACCTTACGGATTAGCAAAAAGATTTGTGTAAAATTGGTGCGCGGAAAACACGCAAAATTCGCGTGTTCGGGTTGCAATTACCGGGAAATCTCTGCCTTTTTTAGGTATGCGCTACCTTAGGTAGTTTCCCGGAATCAAGTACCTGAACCTTCCGCTCCAGCTGTCGTTGGGTTACGAAACTAGAGCAGGTAGCCTCTGGGATTCCACCTATATAAGGCCTGCCTCCCCAGCCACAGCATCACATTCGTTCATCAGCCTTCAACATGAGCATCAGCACTTTCAACTTCCAGTTCTACAACTACAAGCTGAGCCCCTCGTCACCGGGCTTCGGCAGTCCGAGTCCCAGTACAGGAGCCTCCACCCGCTCCTCCTCCTCGTTTATCAGCGAACTGGAAATGGACATTGACGAGGACATGTCCAGCCAGCAACCACCGACCATCACCTCCACCCCCAAGCCGCGTTTCACCACCCAACTGGCCGTGGAATTGGCCAGAGCGGAGCAACCCGGTAATGGCATTTCCCCGCTGCGACCCAAATTGCATACGGCCCAGAAGCGCTGGTCCATGGAGCTGAGGGAGAAGGTGCTGGAGATGTCCAAGCGAAATAATGGCCAGGAGAAGCCACCACCGCAACATGAGCCAGTGCAGCAGGAGCCACATCCAGAACAGGAGCAACCTCCGGTTGAAAAACCCAATGTCAGCGACAAAATCAACTTCTTCAACAAGCTGACCAACACCTTTGAGTCGGGTTTCAACAAATTGCAGCCAGGTGGAGCCACCACCCACAACAATCGCTTCATTGCCATGCTGCGCACCACGAAACCACAAAACATAGCAACCACCACCGCCAACAGCAGCACCGCCAACAGTTTCCTGGGCAGCAATGGTTCCCTGAACGGAAATGGTAATCAAGTGGTGCCACCACCCAAACCCAAAAGATTGGCGGCCTCGATCGCCTCCCAGTTTGCCACGCCCCTGGTGCCCGGGATGGGCGTGGGCAAGGGGGGCAGCCAGCGCAAGTGCTCCCTGCGACGTAAACCTTCGATGGAGAAATCGAGGGCCACCATTTTGAGACAGAACTCCAATGTGACGGTGCGAACCCAGAACCATGCCATCATGGAGGATCTCAGTCTGGTGGTTCCCGTGAGATTGCGCATCGCTGAGTACGAGCAACGCATCTCAATGAGTGCTTGAGTGAAGGAATACTTGACATACGATATATTTTATAATTATTAGTTCCCAAGGATAGACCCTACTTTAACCTAAGTTAGCCTAAGCTTTTAAAGACAATTCAAATATATAATATATGTAGCAAGAAATATGAGTTTTTTATTGGAAATTAAGAGGGTTATTGAGAAAACGCAAAAAAAACAAATAGAAAGCAAAAAGATAACAAGATAAAAAATGACTTTTTCTTGTTTAATTTTAAAGAGTAAATAAAATTGTTTAATTTAAAAGAAATTATGTTAAATATTTTTAATTCATAACTTTTTAAAATGTATAAGAAAACGAATAATGATATTTTTATGAAATCCATTTTTTTTAATTTTTTAAAAAGAAAAAAACTTTAATAATAACAAAAATAGCATTCTTTTAATTTGCAATTTTTTTAATCAATTTGAGAACAGTGAGTCATTTAGTATCCCTAAGAATAGATAGTTCCCTAAATAAATATTGAATTAATTTCAAATGGTGAATCATCACCGTATATTCCAGATTTTATTCAAGATCCTAACATTACATATCCCACAACCAATCCTTTTTCTCTCACTTAATCACCTTTGAACAAAGAGCTCTGACTAATATGAGAAAAAAATCCAATTCCAATACCAATTCCGAATGGCCAATATATCAGTCCTGATAAAACAGAGCTCCCTTTGCAATTGCAAAATCCACACACTACCAGCGGTTGTAAACTGAATCACGCAAGACTATGTGCTCTTGTGTCCACACTAATATATATTGTATATATAGTACATACCCCACTACCACGCACTTGTTTTGTTTGCCGAAGCGGAAAACAAGAAAACCGTTAGCTTTTTAATGCCTCAACCCAGGTATTATCTTATCGGGAAAAACACAGAGAGAGGGGGAGAGTGGAAAAAGAGGAGAGCTTACAACACCTGAACGCAGCGAACACAGGTTATCGAGCAAATATTGGTAACTAAACCAAACTGAAACCCACTGAGCTGTTCTGATAAGATAGTCAACGCGGCGTATGAGTAATGGGGTGGAACTGAATCTGAATCAGCGGCCCAGGGACAACGACTCACCCCAATTGTAGCCGCTATTGTCCACGTCGTACAGCTCGCCCAAGTAGTCATTCGGCATTATCAAAGCTCCAGACATTTTCTGGGGCTTCAAACCGGCTACGGTGAGGACATCATCGGTTCCCCGACTGGTGACATGAACCACGGGAATCAAGGTGGGTTTTTGTAGGGCAAGGGGTTTGGTCTTCTTTTCTTCCTTCACTTCCACTTTTTTCACCTCGGGCGTGGCCTTTGGAACCTCCACGAATTCCGCTTGATTTTTGGGTTTAACCACCTTCACTGGTTCCGGCACCGCATTCACAATCTGATCCTCCAGCTCCTCCTCCGTCGATATATTCTCGTTGGCCAGGACATAGGCCATAAAGCCGCAGGCCAGCGCACAAACCAAAAACAGTTTGAAGCGCATTTTCACTTCGATTTCGTTTGTTCACTTAATTGGTAATTCGTTTTTTCGTTTCACTGCTAAAAGAAAAACATCAATGCGTAAATTAAATATGTATTTTTGGTATTTTTCACTTAGTTTTTCCACTTTTTTAAGCACATTTTTCCTCGTTTTTATGATGACATCACCATTTGAGCCAAAAGCTTATCAGTTTTCTTATCACTGTCACCAATTTTCAATCTATTTTCAATTACCAGGCAGAAAAACACGTTCGTTGCAGCGAGCCGCTCAGCTAAGACTGAAGAAAAGTTAACTTAACTCTAACGATCCGATCGGGGCGTTGCCAAAACTCAGTGTTCTGTTCACCTGTCGCCGTCTACTCGATTGTGAAACATCGGCCTTATCGGCCAGATAAAGTTGGCCATATCTTATCACTCGGAACATTACGCACAGATAACGCATTCTTGGCTTTTTCGGTGGGATCCACTCTCTTTTCTGTGCTCTAGATTTACCAACCTATTTGTTTACCGCCATATTATACTTGCAATCCTTATATATTTCTCTCTGTTGACTGTGGTCTCTTGCCGATTTTTGTGATTCATTTCCATTACAGTTAATCACACTCATGACGCGGCCATTTTGTGAACAACTGAATGGACTGTAAAACCTATACATGTGCATTTTGAATATATACGTATGAGAGCACACTTCCGGTTTAATTATAGACAATGACCCATTACCCATCATCAAAAGGCTATTTCCGACGCAGCTTAAGTTTTATGAATGGCAGTTGATGTCTAAAAAGCCTACGGATTGATTTCATTAGGCCATGAAAGTGTCATGGTCGTCATTAATGGAAAAGTAAAGAAATGAGTGGAGAAACTCGAAATAAATAGAGATAAAGTAAAGCCAATTTTAAAGGGTAACGAAAGACTTGGCTTTTTCATGATTATAAATTTAATAAGGTGTTATAAAATAATATTGCTGATAAAAATATCTTTGATAAAAATCGAAGGATGGGATTCATTATTATTAGGCTGGTTAGTCAGCTTAAGGGCTAAATTAATAAATTGAGCAAAGCAATATTAAAACTAAACTAAAAACTAACTAGTTCTTGGCGAAAAAATGGTTTAATAAAATATTCAATTTTACAAAAAATAAAAGTGCTAAATTAAGCATCAAGTTGAAAAGCAAATGTATAGAAAAACAACAAAACTTTATAAAATTTAAAGAAAAAAACAACTAGGAAATTATTCCAAAAGCTTTTAACTTTATTTGTAGCTAAGCATTCTTTAACGTATGACTAATTTTATGGATAAAATTCTCCCCCATTTTTACCTCTCATAAAAAACCATCAATTAGTGGCCAGCGAACCTGTTGCATTATCAGCTTTGGAGGGCTGATAAGAAACAATTTCGAAATGCCAACACCCTATGGCCATGTTTTGGTGTCATTATCATTTCAGACATCTGTACAACAATTCTGTTAGTTTCTCTGCTTATAACAGAACCCAAACGAGCACTCTGTTAATTAAAAGCGATCGCGCACCCCAAAAGTTGGCAATCCCAAAGATACAAATGGGAGAGAACGTTTATTCAACGGATACATTTTTTTATATACACTCTTTTGGTTCTCTTTTGCCGCTTATCAGTATTAAAAATGCCTGAGGGGGTCTGGGATCCAAACAAAATGATATAGAACATCACTTCTGGGTCGATCGGCGGCGAGAAGAGATCGTCAATCCGTGTTCGCGCTTATCAGGGGATCCGGCAGATACGCCTAGTTTTAAATCCATCAGCATGCTGCGTTACTTTGCGCATTCGGAGGCGAATATCGCGAAACTGCCACGCCCACTATCGCGGGGCTATCACAGCGAAAAAGGCGTTTGGGGCTATAAGCCGACTGCCCGGCGCGAATTTCAAGGTACGGCTGTTGTTAATCCAAAAGTAGAAAATAAAAGTGTGTTGCCAAGACTTCAATAAAAACCTCATCCGTCGAGATAACCATCGCATCGATAAGAGTGTTTCGGGATCAAAAACAAATAAATGAGCAGTGGAAATGTACCCAAACAAAACTAACAAAAAAGCCACTGGAGTTCTCTGTGCAGTGACATTGTGTTTATGTGTGTGGGTTTGATTTTCCACCCGGCTATTTATCAGTGGAATCCGAGCAGCTGACCCACAACAATCCAGCCACAACAACTCCAATAAAACAACAACCTGAACAAAAGATCAAAAGCAAATTACTGGGGGCAAACTGGGAAACTTGGAAACCAGAAGCAAAAGTCAAACGCAAACACAAAAACTCAATCTCTTGTGTTTGTAACTTCAGGCTGCAGTTCGAGCATGTTCAAGGCAACCTGTTTGAAGAAGATATATCACTGTAATACCCTGTAATAAAAGGGTATATTCGGAATGAGTTTTTGGTACTATAGAAAAGAAAAGAGAATGAAGAGCATTTTCCATTAAGATATATATTATTTCTAGCAATTGTCTTAAAATAAATATTTCTTCGCACTAAAAATAGATCCAAAGACAATCTCCTTTCTAAATTGTTAGAAATATATCATTTCATTGTTTATACCTCCCAGACTATCGACAAAATACAACTCCTGTTGGCTAGTGGAATATTTTTTATGGCTCCAATACTACCTGCTTTCCTGTTGCCCACCCAAAAACTAATCTTAAAGTTCTTGGCTTATCACATGTTTTCAGCCCGAAATCTGATAAACTTTAAATATATGATGTAGCCAGTGCTTAGAATTTATAATTAGAACCAAGAGATTGTGGCAGACCCCCTGTGAACTGCACTAATTAAGCGTAGAGAGGCGGGTGTCCAGTGCAGAGATACTATATATCTATCCCTAAAACGCACAGCAGGGAGTCTGAAAAGAGCCCGGCTAAATATCAAAGCCCGGCAAACAAAGGACCCCCAAAACGGGAGCTCCTTTGTGCTTGTCCTGCATCCGCTGCGTACACAATTGGGGCTTATCGACACCATGGCCAGCAGACACCAGTCAGCAGTTGGTAGTCGGTTTGTTGGAACCCGGAATACGAATACCATAGACGGACTATAGTCTGCCGGGAGCCTTTGACTGGCCAGCAGAGTAAAGCCTTCGACACTTGACCGTATGACATCAGCTGCTGAGATGCTGCACTTGGGAAAAAAGTGTACAAATATTTTAAACTTGGGATAAGAATTTCAAAAGGTAGGACCAGATTAAACCTTCAGGTTTTATCCAAAAAACTGCTCTACTTTAATTGAATTTTGTATGGAATAGGTATATTATAAATGTTAAGAAATTTTAAATATATTTAGCTTAAAGTATTTTCGAAGAATAGGCTTAAAGTTGGATAGGTTAAACATAATTTTGGAGATGAATATAACAAAAAAGTATTTATTGAACTAAGCTGCTTATAGGAATATTACTCTTTGATTTAGCGATATTTAATACTACGATGAAGGCGTTATGATAAATTTAAAATAAAGTTTAGTGACCGTCAAATTAGGATTTTAGGGATTCTATTTAATACTATATTATCTTCAACTTTCACATATTCTCCAAAGTGTATGTTCGCTTTAATTCTCCTGATGCGGAGTGGGAAAGGACTCATCCCCCCGTTCCGCTCACCGACTTGTTTGCCGTTCGTCCTTCGGTTGCATCTCTGTCGGGGCAACCATTATCCTTTGGCAAAGGACGCGCCGCTGTGCTCCAATAATATTTACACGCTCAAGTTGAAATGTTGTCGCCGCAAATACAATTCATCATACGCCCTGTTCTCCTGTCCAGGCGCCCTGCTCTTTAACATTAAATTGATTTATCACCGAAAGGCTGTCGAGAAATTGCATAAATTTTTGTGGGAGAAGAAAGCTTGGTTTTAATGCGGGTCCAGCTGTCGATGACCCGTGTCCTGTCCCACGGTCTCGGATTCGGATGCTCAGGGTGCCCTGTAATCGAGTGATATGCGTCATCGCATATAAATCCTCTAAGCAGGATAACACTTTAGCACGTAAACACCTAAGCAGCCAACGAGTTGTCAATGGCTCAACCAGAGAATAAAATGGCCCAAAAAAGCCAATAAAAACAACCATTGCCATTTCTCATATGTAACACAAATTGGGAGATTTATTTGTGAAGAACAAACATGGGATACTCTTTATTTTAAATACTGGCTTTAAAGTATTATATAGGAAATATTTTTAAAAAATTGGCTAGCTTTAGAGTAACATTTTAAAATGAAGATTTATTACAATACAATACAATACAATACAATACTTAGACATGATGATAAGTTTTTAAATTCAACAATCTGAATAAAACCCCTTATGAATTTTACCCAAAATCTTTTTGCCATTTTCCATCCGACTTCATATCGAATGCCAAATATTTGCGAGGCAAATATGATATAAAAGTGCACATACCTGGCAGCTAGTCCATCAAAATGAAGCGGAGCGTAAAAAGCAAAGAATAAATATTATAAAAGTAAAAGGCCAATAAATTCAAAAGGCCGCACAATGTGGCAGTGGGCGAGGCGAATGCGAATGCGAGTTGCACGTGAATCCTTTTTTAAATAATTTATAACGTTGAGCGAAATTTATATTGTTTACGCATGTGTTTCTCCAGTGGCCGAGGATGTGCGGACTTCCAGGAACTCGCAGGGCAACGTCTATCGTTTCGTGGAGGCCTTTCGCCAGCACGGACACAAATTGGCAGCCGTAAATCCCATCAGCATCAGGAGGAGGTAACACCCAACTTCTGTTCCCACTCTGAAATCATCCTGGCAAATGTCATATTTTATTCTCCCTTTCTGGCTCCTTTGTAATGGCCTGTCTGTATTTGTCTTGTGAATTCTCCCGGCCACGTGGACACACACACAGCAAGGAGGAGCTGCAGGAATTAAGTCCCGCATTTTATGGACTGCAGACACAGGAGACGGTGCGCACCGATGGCCTCTTAAGTGGTCCGCAGGTGCAGGCGGCCCAGAATGTCGCCCAGCTGGAGCAGCTGCTCAAGGACATTTACTGCGGCCGCTCGGCCAGCGCCGAGTTCTCCTATGTCGAGGTAAGTGGCCCCTGCCATTAAAACAGTCACAGAAAATTCATATGGAGTGCAGAAAATCACCAATAATTCAATTAAACAGTCAGGAATATTAATAAATTATTAATAAATATAAGGGCTTTAAAAAAGAGCTCAGAAAAAATTGAAATTGAAAATCTTTGACATCTTTAAATATTTTCGAGATTTTTATTATTTTTTTGCAATAAATGTGAAGCTTTAATATTTCTTCCTGTAATAATAACTTTAGTTAATTTAAAATTCGGATAGCTAACTTTATGTATTTTTA